CAGGTTTACTGATAAAATATTTCAGAAAAATCTTTAATCAGTTTAGCCATGCACAAAAAAAAGATGACACATAATAAAGATGATTTTTATTTTTTTCACAATAATCTAAAGGTGGATTTTACAAAATAAACAGAGATTACAGTTTATCTTCTTTAAAAATTTCATCATTTAATTGTCTTAAGCAGAACTATTCAATATAGTAGCCACTAGCCACATGTGTCTTGAGGCTTGAAATGAGCCTAGTCCAAATTGAGATGTGATCCAAGGGTGAAATGCACATCAGACTTTAAATACTTAGTATAATGGTGGTACATGCCTGTAATATTGAGTGACTTGAGAGGTTGAAGCAGGTGGATCACAAGTTTGAGCCCAGCCTGAGCAATTTACTGAGACCCTGTCTCAAAATAAGATTAAAAGGGCTGGGAATATAGTTCAGAGGCAAAGCATCCTTGAGTTCAAATCCCCAGTACCAGAAAACAACAACAACAACAACAACATTAAATATCCCTTTAAAATTTTTTAAGTATCAATTACATGTTGAAATGCTATTTTAGAGATACTTGAGTTAAATAAGTTTAATTGCTAGAATTTATTTCATTTTTTAAATTTTACTGATCTTATCTGATCTGTATGAAAGAGTAACTTTTATCAGTTGAAAGAGTTACAACCTCTCTTGAAGTTTCTTGAGAAACTTTTCGGTACATTAGGGTTCTTTATTGCTATAGGTCATCTGTCACTTATGATTTTTCATTCTGACATGAAGTATGGAAAACAAATACAGTATTTATGAAAAGAGTAGGGGAAACAACTAAGTTGAGCCTGAGAGGTTTCTTTACAGTAATCTAAAGAGATGGTAGAGGAAAAGAAATGGAAGATGTGGAAAAATCCCTTAGAACCAATGGAAAGTAAAAGCCATGGAAATTTTAATTTTAGCCATGGAAAGTATTATAAGATGATATGTGGAAAAGGTTGTAAAAGCTTTTATGTTCCACCAGTTCTAAATGAGATGGTCATTGGAGCCAGATATCCTAGTAATCCAATCTGAATAGACAATTTATCTAGGTTCGTGAATATGAGGTCCTCCATCAATGTTTGCTAAATGATTGAGAAAAATCTATGACTTGTGTTTTTATTTCTGTTTTTACAGTCTCATTACTTATTAGCAGAAGGTATTATGACTTCTTACTGACAGAGCTGGCTGCTCTAATAAGACAGCAAGTTCTTTGTTCCTGTTGATACAGATGTTTTTCTCTTTCCCAAGCAAAGATGAAGCCAGAATTTATTTTCTTTTTTCCTTTTCTGGGTGGCCTTTGTGTTGCAGCAGGAATCAGAAGTTGTCAGGTAAGAGAAAAATAGCTCCTGGGGCTCAGACTGTGGCTCAGCAGTAGAGCAGTTGGTCTAGGCAGTCCCAGGATGTAAACTCCAAGGGTGTAGTGATGGGAGCCATGATAAAAATGTCCTCCAACTGCCCTCAGAAGACCACTGTCCATGTGGACAGTGAACTTACTGGAGACCAGTGTGGATAGAGTTGTAGTGGACCCTTTTGACTTCTCCCATTACTCTCTGGGATCTTTAGCCAAACCTGAAGAGGTGGAGAACCCTACTAAGGAATGAGCCTGGTTTTCCCATCAACTGTATGGTTGGGTATTCAGAGCAGAATAAAATTGTTCAGAGTAAATTTTGCTACCCTGCTAAATTTTAAATTTCATCATAGTAACTTAACAGTGATACTATCCATGGAAGTGCTTGTTTTGGCAACGACCCATCAATAGTGTAAAATGAAAAAGAAATTGCTCACAGAACACAAGAACAAGATGCCACTTCTATCTTCATTTGCTCCTGATTTTTCCTTTGTAGATCAAGAAACTAAGGCTTAAGGTATGAAAGAACTTGTTCCTGGTTGTTGACCCAAAGCTAGTGCAGAGTTGAGGCAGTTGTTTGTTAACCCTCAGACCACTTTTCTTTCTACCTTACCACCTGTAAAATTCAGATAGGACCGGGGATGTAGCTTAGAGGTAGAGTGTGTGTCTAGCATGTGTGAGACCCTGGATTCAATCCCCAGCACTGAAAAAAATTATATATATTGTGGCAATTAAAACATATTATCATTTCATCATTGTCATTAATAACTCTTATCCATGTAAGATCTCACAATTTTAAAGTGAAATAAAGAAATGACAAAAAAAAGAGAAAGAAATTCAAAACTGTAAAATATCCAGCTCTGATATGGAGGTTAAAAAAAGAATACTGGGGACTGGGGCTGTAGCTCAATGGTAAAGCACTTACCTGGAATGTGTGCAGCCCTGGGTTTAATGTCTAAAACAAACAAATAAAAGCATGGCCACATGGATTTTCACGTTACTTTGATATTATAGTTTCTGAGAAATAACTCTTCCAAAGACATTTAAAATATAAATATACATTTGCATGTATGTTAGACAAACATGCAGAAGTCTGTTAGCCATAAAACACTGTATAGGAATTGCTTCTTAGTGGGGTGTGTCTATGTGTGTGTGTGTGTGTGTGTGTGTGTGTGTGTGTGCGCGCGCGTAGCCCACCTTGATAAAGAAAATGTTTATAATTCTTACTGTGTTTTTTTCTTAGGAATCATCTTGTATAATACTATGACTAGTCTAACACTCCCATTATCAAGTCTTGTCTAATCTATGTCTTTGTCTCACTTTGCTCTTGGCAGATGGAAGGCTGATTGGAATTTGACTCCTTGCTTTTCCTCTGGACATCTGTGTCAGAGAATACAGCTGTCCCCTACAGAAGAGGCTCTTTTTAGCTACATGAGCAGCCTGCACTGCTGCTCAGAGCTAAGTCCTAAGTAACCTGTCAGTCAAGCAGCTGTCCCTGGGTGGCTGTGAGTTCAGACCATGATCTGGGCAGGTTCAAAAGGAAGGGTGTGGGCGCACAATGCCCACACGACAAATGCCTATCCTTGGAATGCTGTCAGGGCTGTATCCCAGGAACTGGGATCTGCTTGTCTCCTCTTGTTCCTCAGTCTGTTCAGATGTTCCGATAGGCGTCTCTCTGCCAACAGGGCCCGTGGCGGATGAGCGTGAAGAGTAGTACCACTAGGATGCCAGACACCAGGCAAAAGGCAATGGCAAGGATGACCCTTAGAACTGTGGGAAAATAGGAAGAGCATTAATGTAAAATTGATGTCTTAAGAAAATATGAAGACTACATATCAGTGTTGATTTCTGCCTTTATTGTAAATTTGAAGCAGCACAGAAGTCAGCAGATGGTGGTTACAAAGGGCACAGGACAAGAAGTCTGGAGACCTAGGTTTCATTTCTAGCATGACCTTTGACCTTTGGGCTTCAGCTCTCCGTTGTAAAGGGAGGGTCATCCACTGAATTCTTTCTAAGGTCCTCTTATAGTACTAACTTTGGGCATTTTTCTACAGTTAAATTACTAATTGTTCTGGTCACAAAGTCAAAGGAAATTCTGAATACTCAACTGCAACCAATTGAATCTAAAGGAAATGGATTTTTTTTTTTAATTTTTCAATTTGATGTTCAGGTAAATATATTTTAAAGAGGAAACCCTAAATATATATTAACTATACAATTGTCCATCTATATGTATATATGGCACTAATTTATTATTTTGTTCAGAAAGTTAGTCTCCTCTAAATACATCCTATTCCACTATAGTGTACACATCACAAATATCAGTTT